GGTCATACATTTTCTGTTCGTGCAATCAAATCATCCAAATTTGATTTGCTTTCAAATTTGACCATCCTATCCACTTCCCGTCAATGTACCTAAAACATGTTGATCAGGACATTAAAACTAACTTAGCGTATGTTTGATAGAGATTCTTGATAAACTCTTTTTAAGCACAAATTTTTTTAATAAAATAATTTTATACTTGTACCCATAACTTTTTCCATTTTTAACCACATATTCTTTTAAAAAAAGTCATTTTTTACAATTTATTCTCTAAAAATCTACATCAAACGGGTTCTTGATATGTCAACTACCCATTAATTTTAGTGTCTAGTTGAAATATACTGCATTAGTTAAATTTACGTCAGTTGACAAAGTGATTGTTTGCAAGCAATTCAAAGTTAAGTGATTTGATTGTACTAAACTAAAGAAGATGCTACTTCACTCAAAATTGGGTTTCATAATTTACCAAACATTCTTGTAAGTAATATAGAAGTTGACTTTGCAGTTCAGCCCAACATGTTTTTTTGCATTATCTTTCTCCTTCACCCACTCACCCACTCACTGCATCACTGACTAGCCACCGAACCTGCATTTCTGGTATCAACCCTGGATCTGAAACTTCCAGCTGCAACCCTTTGAATTTCCCCGTACTATGAATTTTCTATTGATTTGAGAATGTTGAAGAAAATCTTGCTCTTCAAATCCAAATCCTCCTTGAATTTACACTAAAGGGCTTATATATTTGAGCATTTTGAAGAAATTCGTGATCTTCGAATCCATGTCCCACTCAATTTAAGCATTCTCCTTTTTTCTTGAATTTACACAAAAGGGCTGTATATTCGGGCATTTTAAAGCAACCCCTACTCTTCAAATCTATATTTCACTCAAGTTCCCTTAGAAATATCACCGTAAATGGCAAACTCTTCCTTAGCAGCAACGAATTACAAATCTGAACGGTACGAGGTTAATGAATTCAAGGAAAGCAAATTAACGGTAGCTCTCTGTCCATGTGTTTTTTGCTTCATTCTTATACTCATAGTAGTCTCTATTGTGCTTATTGTGAAATTCCATTTATTTTGCCACACCCCACTTCACTCTGTCCTCTTCAAAAAATATTGCCATTAAACCCACTCCGAAAGCTGAGATTTCCCTATAATCATAGTATTTCGTTTTATTGCTTGAATAATTTTAGGGTCTTTAATTCCTAGTGTTATTGATGTGCGATTTGATCCTGAGAATGAGCATTGCGTGGTTCTGGAAATGAATCAATTGTAGTTAAAAATGTGAAATGGACTGATCAGGAGGAGGTTGACATGGTGAGTGAATTGATTCAGATCAAAGATTTGCGTTTGGAGGTGAATATTGAATGGTTTTAGATGAATGCGAGTTGAACTTAAGTTGAGATCTGGCGGTTTGAGCATTATTCAAGGGCTTAAAATGCGATGGTTATTGTTCTTGAGAAGAGGAGACAGTTTGAGATCATGGTGTCTGTTCTTGAAGAAACGATGGGAAGGATCTGCTCATGATGGAGACATTTATTATGGTGATCGAAGCATTTGTTTCTGTGAGGGAGGAAAATGACTGATGGGATTTTCATCGACTGAGAAGTTTAATCTACTAACGTTGTGGAAGAGTTGGATCATACTCTTTGCTGGGAAATCCTGGGGATTGGGAAATTAAGCAGAGGCTTTCTTTGAGAAATTGGGATGTAGGTTCATGCTGAATTCTAGGATTTATAATGTTCTGCTCAGTCTTTGGCGGGTGAAGATTTTATTGAAGTCGTGCAGGAGGTGAAATAGGTTGATAGATGAGGGTTTTAGTCCTCCTGGTGTTGTTCAAAACACGCTGTTCAATGGGTCGTTAAGGTTTCAAGAAAATCTCTGATACAATCCAGCCGTTCTACTTGATGAAGGCTACAGGTTTATTTTCCAATCTTGATTAGGGACTTTTGCAAACAAGGTAAGATGAAGGAAGCTGTTGAGTACAATGCTTAGTTATGGATGAGTGTCGGATGCTGCATTATAGACTTGTTTGATGACGGGATTTGTGAATCAAAAGAAGATCAAAAGGGTATATAAGTTGGATGCATAATAGACTTGTTTGATGACGGGATTTGTGAATCCAAAGAAGATCGAGATGGTGTATAAGTTGTTGAAGAATACGAAGGAGAAAGGACCATACCACCCCATCCTGATGCTCAGACGTGCAACGCTCTGATCAAGATGATTGTGAAATTGCGAATGCAGTCTGGATATAAAACAAGTTGATTAATCAGCAGGCATTTAGTTGACCATTTTACATTTGCAATGTGACGATGAAGCCATACTAAATCACAAGAAATTACGGGTTTTGCAGCTTTGGAGGAGAGGCTGTTGCTCCAATGTGACACGTTAAAAAGTTAAAGGGAATGATAGAAAAAGGAATGAAGGAACCTCAACTTGATTACAAGAAGTTCGTGGCTGATTTTTCCTAGGTTGTATTGAGAATTCAATATAGAAGCCACCAGTAAAAGACTAGCATCCGAAATTGGGACGAATCCACCGTCTTACTGCTGATGGACTATATGCCTGAGTCAATTGCTTGAGCAGATGCCATTTTGGTCTTCAAACTGAAGATAACCATGAAATCGCTATCAGTTGTATTTCTGTTACCTAAATACTTTTATCTCCAGTATTTTTGTACTAATAAGTATATAAGATTTGTTGTTGAGAACTAGTATCATGCAATGTGAGTATGAAACTTTTGAGGGCTGATTTGTTAGTTCATTTCTCAAGTATATGCAAGAATTCTATGTAAGAAATACTTGCATGCATCAAAACAGCTGACATTTAAGCTGCTACTCAGTAGTATCTATATTCCCGAAGTTGGACCTGACTGCTTGGTTCGACTGGAAAACAAAGAACCTCGAGTTCAGACCGTTAAATAAGTCACCGAACTGATGGGTTCACATACAAAACTTTTCTCAGGCTTTGAGAAACTCATCTATGGAGACTGGTTACGTCAAATCTATTGAGGTTGCTCGTTTGAAAAAGGTCTATTATTTTATTTCGTCCATTCAGATAATAATCAAACAAATTGAGAAAATTATATTTGGTTGAGATTTTTCTCATCTAATCTATGCAACTAAACCATTAGTACTCGTGTACTTGTGTACATAGATTACTCACGAATTGCACATAATATTTCTTATTTAATATATTTTTAATTCGGTGTACACAATCTTTCTTCCATCTGCCCATAAATGAAAGGTCATTCATTCTCAAGATGAACAACATCGTCAACCTGTTTCATGAAGAGAAAAAAAATGTAGTCTTCACTATAGCGATTCCTTCAATTCGTTGAATGTTGACAATAAGTTACGCAACTATGTGCATGATCATTAATAGTAACCAATTATCTAAATATACTCATGACAATTCAAATTAATTTTCGCAATAAGGGCTCTACTTCGTTCAAAATTCCTTTTGAGGAAAAAACTGAAAAATGAGAAATTAGGTGGGACCCAATTCAATTCGAGAAGGGTAGAGAGTACAAGAAATATTTGATTTTCATTTTCATGCTCAACTAACCATGGTAAAAAAAGTTCGTAACCTCGGTAACTTTTTAACCATGGTTAACATGCATGATCCCTATATGAATTAAGCTAGTTGTGCAACTAGTTTCACAATGTGTGAGTTGACAAGGTTTTGATTAGGATTCAAATAAATGGTCAAGATTCCTACACCTCACATATTGTCAATTTTTCAAATCGATAGCCAGATTTCCTACCAACTCACACATTGTCAAATTAGTTGTACAAAGTAGCATGATTATCCCTATATATTGCAACCCGCATTCGGACACTTTTCAATGAAATTTCATAATAGACTTTGCAAATCACAGCTTCACTCTCTCTTTTCTGCATTTCTGGAATTTCATAAGGTGAGCCGAGAACATTTTTAAATTGCAAGTTATTTATCATTTTCCTGCAGCTTTTAATGAATTTTGCTGAAATTTCTGTCTAATTCCTACAGATGCTTGCACGGAAGTTAAAGGGCTAGGAGATCTCAGAGCACAACTCATTTCTACAAGTAAATCTTTCCAAACTATCTTCGTGCAAATAAATGTTACTGTAGCTATCCTGTCATCAGTTCTGGTTCACTTCATCATCAGTTGGACGGATGGGAGAAGATGAATATTTTTGGTCAACAATAGATTTTTGGAAAAAAGTCCTTCCGCCACACAATTTTGAAACGTTCGGGACCTCAACTGTTATGATTAAAGGTTTGGATGTAATCTACACACTTTATGGGACCTCTATTGCACATATCCCATCCCATGTAGTTCCTTGTTTTCTTATTGTTATACATCTTTTGTCAAGAAATTATCCAAATATTGCATCTGTATGATCTTAAATCTAACTGTACCATGGTCAAGATATTTGCCTATTTATTAGCCAACTTCAACTGTTTTCCAATTATTACTTAAATTAGAAAAACGTATGATGAGCAAATTGTTTCCACAATAGTAAAGACTAGTTAAATCCAACAAGAGAAAAGAATAATATGTTTAACTAAAAGCTGCTCATTTTCCATGTAATTTATCCACGGAAGAACAAGCGACACATATGTATGACTTGTCAATACTATAATGAAGAGTATAAAAGAATAAAAAAATCTTATTCATTGTGCCATATTTCATACCAAAAAATTGTCATTAACGAGGAATATGTTATACTTCACTATTAAATACTCTCTACACTCAAATATGAATCAGCTTGCTTACTTCAGTAGTCCCTTTTCCATAATGAATCCATGGAGACAAAAGTTTCACCTACCGAGAAATTTAAGACATTGCAGACGAACGTCTCACGAACCTCAAGGCGAAACTGTATGAATGCTTGAACTAGTTACCCCATGCAAGAGAGCCGATAGGTTGCCCAATTAACACTTAGCAAATGAGTATTAGCAAGCAAAATTAATAGCAACTTTGAAATTGGATGAATTCTCTTCAGAAACCGGGCTCTATTGTGAAATCTTTGTCAACTTTGCATTTACAAGTCTGTCTAAAATGGATGGTTCAAGAGGAACTGGATCAAGACAACGCTCTGTAGTAACATCAATCACCTGCTCAACCAAATACACAACACTTATCATCAGGTTATAGAAGTCAAAGAGGAAACTTTTTAAAATTGTTCGTTTAAATCAACGAAAAAGATGATCATGGAACTTAAACTATTCCTCCATTGATGTATTGTTTGTAAAAGCGAAATTGCTCCATTGCTCACCAACATATTGTCTCAACTCTCAAAGAGGAACAAGTCGGTCCACAACCTTTCACTATAATTGCACGGGCAATGAACACATCCCATTCTCAACTGTGCTACCAGAAGCTCAGGGGATAACAAATAGAAAAGTACCGAACTTGGGGTGAACTTACTAAGACGAAATAGTCTAAATTTTGTTTAAGTTGATGTGGCCCTCACGGAAATATATATTGCTTCAAATTTTTTGGCACCAATCCAAGTTGGAAAGCACAACCTAGCTTAGTAGAGTTGGACATGCAATGACCGCATGATGTCTTGAACAAAAAATTGGCTTCTTACCTCATCAAGTAAGAAATCAATTGCAGCTTCATCCTCGGCAATATCCCTTAAAGTACACTTCAAAAACTGAACATCCAACTGAATTTGTTGGAAGCCACTTCGATTGAATGTCTGGAGTCTGACTAACTCTTGCAAACTCTTTAAAGAAAGTTTTGCTATAGTTGTTATGACAGATTTCTGCAAAGTAATAGCAACCCTGTTTCAGTTTTATCACCGTACAAATACACCTTATTTATCCACAGCAAGTGTCCAAACCTGCGTGTTTTCTGTTTTTGTGAAAATCTCCATTTTTTGCTTAAATAATTTTGCTAGATGCATCTCCAGAAGCTGGTTCCTGTCCTTCTGAGTATTTGACCTGCTCAACCTACCGTCTCTCAATGTACTGCTGCGTGAAGATGTAGTGCTCCCATTGCTGTCAGTGCGTTGATGTCTATAGTGAAGGCCGTGGGGCAAAATTTGTTTTGCTTCGTTTCCTATTGCTTCAAACTATATATGAGACGAATAAAGAAACTTTAATTTTTGAACTAGTTTAGGTTGTAATATTTATTGGCACAGAGAGCTGGAATCAACCTACAGAAAATTGACAGAATCCTTTCCATAAATAAAGAGAGAAAAAACGAGCATGAAATAATGACAATGGAAATACCTCCTGAAGAAGTAGATCGACAAACATATGCACTTCTCTGGGTTCTTTGTGCTATGGGACAGAGGTGAAATAAATATGAGATTGAAGTATTTCGCCCGGGCCGGGGGGGTGGGCGGGAATGAATCCACGATTTCAAGATGAGTACTAACCTTGACCCAATTCGGTGCTGTAAACCTCTTCTTTAAGATGACTGCTATTCTTTGAGTTCTCATCTTCACATACTGCAAGGATAGAAAGATCAAAATAAGTATTGAAGCATAATCTCCTTTTCTTGTCATGCACCACAGACTAAATATTGGAAAACTACGTGCTCTGCACTAAAAATACATTTTTTAATAGTCAATTTGTTATGTTCTCCTTGGTATACTACCGTTGGTTTTACTTAACAAGAGATTTTAGCCTAAGATACAGATATGAAAGTAGGAAAGGTTTGACATGCTCTTAAGGCTGTCTACTAAAATCAGCACAACAAAGTCAGTGAACTCATTTTTTAATTCGGCTCTGAAGAGGTTCATCAATTAATCGTGAGAAAGAAAGTGTTGAAGCAAAGAGATTGGTTAATAGACGAAACTGACACGAGGTATTAATGCTTTTTGCAAGCAATGGGATGGAATCAACCTCCTCGTTAAACAGGCATATTGACACAACATACTCAAAAACAATGCTTCTTAACTCATTCAAATATTGAACTGAATCAGCTTGTCTAAGTTAATGAATGACACAAAAAAATTTGACGATGGAAGAAGAATTAAATGTTAAATGCTTACAAGGTGCGAGTACATTTCACCATCTGCCCGAAAGGTGCAACAAATTTCTGCAGGAATAAAAGCTGGACCATCTTCAAAGCCCCGAACACCACTACCAGAGAAAGAAGACGCTATTTCCTGAAATTTTGATTAGAAAGTTCACAGGAGGACCTGATTGTATTGAGCAATATATGATTGTGTTAATTTAATGACTAAGAAACAACTCAGAGTTGATTCCTTGCCTCAGAAATTCTTGGGATGGCACTTTTTTCAATAAAATGGCATAACCGAGCCATTACAAGAACAAGCCCAGCAGGAACTTTGTCACCTGGTATTCCCTCTATAGGATTTCGATCTTGACTGGAAGAGTTACTCTTTCCACAAAGCAAGAGGAAATAGTCATGAACTTTCCTGAAGAAATCTTGAAACGCTTCTTGGACCCAGTCCATTGCAAAGCCTCTCAACTCCAGTAATAATTCAGAGTTTTCAATGAGAAGTAGATGGAAGTCCTGGATTCACAAATAAATTAACAGTAAGTGATGAAGCAGCAGAAACTCAGCAACTAAAATCATGTGCTATCACCTGGAGTAGAAGATAGATCAAAACAACAGGCTAATTCAATACCAAAGTTAAATGAAATAAAAAGATTGATCTGAGTACGTGACATTGAGCAACGACCGAATCCGAAATGGACCTCTAATATGAGCCATGATAGTCTATAAGTGATAGAACGAGAAATTCAGGAGAATAAGCCAAGCATTAGCTTGTACTTTCTCCATGAGTTAGTAAATGACACCCTTGAGTGGCACAGATGTTAACATTAGAGGAGTATCTAGGAAATGATAGCAGTCAGAATACTAAAAAAATTCTGTTCAAAAAATTATTTGTAGAATGATATGGATAGTGAGCTCTTGAAGAGTGTGTTTTATGGCCTGTTGACCATTATTGTGAACTGCAAAGGGCCTCATATATTTAATAGTTGTCTGAATTTTTGAGCATGAGAAAAGTAGGGATATTTTGTTTCTTTAAAGCAAAGGTGACGGTCCCGGAGTTCTACATTTCACAGAGTAAATCTTGTAAAATATCTACATAATGTATTAAATTATCCCCACCTTTTCTGTTTGCAAATCTATGTTGCATATTTCAACATGTTGGATTCTTCAGAATACTAGCATTTCACTTGAAAGGGAAGAACGGCCTTATTTGTCATCCTATAGTTTCATTTGAAACAGAACACACCTATATGCACACACTGGAAATAAAGAATCCCCAGAATTTTACTTTTAATATAGCCAAAAGTGAGAGCTTTGTAAGGTTAAAGAAAGAGAGCATAGCGGGACTGGGAAATGCCACATCACATGATAAAAGTAATTCATCTGGCATCTTATCTTCTGTCATTACCAGTAAGACATCCATACTGCCTTGGATAACTGCCTTTTTGCTGGCCTCGAAGGCTGCCTTCAAAGGGTATACTTCCTCTGTTCCCTCCTTTTGCATAACTTGGATTTTTGAGAAAGCGTCTACCAGAGAAGGAAAATTAAACAAATAAAATCATGCAAAAGTATAGACTCTGAATTTGTTTAAATAACTTTATGTAGATGCTGGATTCATCTTAGAAAAAAAGCAGACCTATAATCCAAATAATTGAGCTTCTTGACTTACTTTATATTGAAACGATTACTAACCTGAAATATCAAGTAAAAGATAACTTACTGCATTGGTGATATAATCTTTGACAGCAATAAGAGCAGCCTGAAAATTGAAAACAATAAATTTATCAGCCTATCATCCTCAATAAATACGAGTCACAAAGCAATCCAGATAGACACGCAGAGGTATTGCCATCTGTTTTAGTTGCAGAATCGACAATGACCTGTAGAGTAAAATCAAGAAGGGCAGCCCCAGGTAACACTTCATCAAGTAGGAGCACATCAGTCCAAATGACTCCTGTAAACAAATGAATTTTAAAATTACATTCAAGTTAAAATTTTTAAAGACGAAATTTCTCTGAAGAAATGTGTTTCTGTTGAAAGAATGGTTCTAAAGATAATAAAGTAAAAATAGTGGGGATTGAAGGCTGTCACAAATGCTATCAAACAGCTTTTCAGATGCTTCTCGAGAGCGAGTTCATGTACAAAAATAACTAAATAAAAGGAAAAGAAGATTATGATAAAGGAAGGAAGTGTTTGACCTTACCATTCATACAGAGACGAGATCATTACCCTTCTTTCTTTTGTCAGTTACTAACATGATCCAATACAGTTATGGAAGTAAAATGGTACCAAAAGAAGTTGCACACCTTCAAATACTGGAAGTAGCATTTTTGTCACATAGTTTACAACAAATGATGAGATACTGCAACCAAGTTAACTTACGAAGGATTGCCAGAATATTTGCAGAGCGGAGCTGCTTCTTAATATGTTGATGAGTGGCTTCAAATTCCCTAAGATTTGGGCAAAACCATATAAATCATAAGCAAAAATGTGAGAACTACACCCTGATTCAATCACAAGGGCAGGATTGTCAAATAAAAATTGGGAATGAAAGAGCAGCCATACTTCATAACAAGGTCTTGTGCAAGTTTAAATAGCTGTGGTTCTGAGTGCGAAAAGATAACTCTATAAGCACGAAGAGCTTCCCCAAATTCACGAATAGAAGCCTGAAAGTGAGTAACATTTCAAAAATGTAATTTGAAATGTGATGCACTATAAACACAAAATAAAAGAACATTTTTATTGTATGCAACAAAAGTAAAATAGCTAGGCTAGAATATCTGGGATCTGTGCCTCAATAAAATATTGAGTGAAATAATTACATCATGAATAAATACTGAGTGAAACAATTACACATCACTGCGACCTTTTTACATGTACACATCATCCACAAGTGATCTATGAAGGGCAAATATTAATGCATACAAGTTTTTATTCCAACAATCAATATCTATCCATTTGTTGCTTTTTACTTTAAAAAATGGGAAAAAATTAGGTTCATTCTTTACTTCATGAGCAGCAGCAAAAGCTGAAACATCGACTTTTCCTTGGTTAGGAAGTTCATCATCTGCTGAAGCATCTTTTAGGTCCTTAGATTCAAAATGCAAATCCAAAAGGAACTGTTCCAACTTCTCAAACAATTTAAGCTTCAGAGTCTCAACCTGTCAGAGAAAGGAAAACTATCAAAAAGTGAACAATATTATAGGAAAACAAACAACGGAGACATAAAATATTGTTTTCCACAACTGTGAATGTCTGACTTTGACAAACAAAATTCAGGGATTACCCTGGCATGACCACTAACTCTCCACACTTAATGTCTGCAAGGTGTGTACATCCTTGACTAGATGCATATTTGCATCTATTTATAGATCATCAGAAAATAAAAGTAAGTGAAATACAAACCGGGAAATTTAACTGATTAAGAAGCATCACAGCCTCAGCTCTTGCTTGTATGGACTGGGAATCCGAAAATACCTTCCCCTGAAAACAATAGTAGAAAATATAGAAAATCATTCTCACTAATTATTAGCTTTTCATCGTAAAAGATACCAATCTCTGGGAAGGTTTAGTAGCCCTTCTTGTGGAAAAGTATATAGAGTTGTTTTTCTGTTCATTTGAAACAAGAATAAAATTATGCAGCCATTTATATCATTTATATGCTGACAGAGGATGGTAAAAACTCTGTTGTCACCTATATCAACAGGATTCCAAGGTTCAGAGACAGAACACTAACAACCAGAAGGTTCCTATCTTCCTGTAAGCTGACATGAGGTTTTGGTTCATGAGCACCTCTAATCCATGCAACACTTTGACTCGTATGGTCAACAACTCCACCATTTGTGTTTGTGGAAACTGAAGCTCGCAAAATTGACAAAATAAATATCCACAAGTCTTGCTGTGTTCCATATTATGATCCATGACACGTATCTTTTTTTATGCTTGGAGACCCTCAATTAAATTAAAGTTTGTATTTAGTCATTGGAATCGCAATACATCACTACTCTTATCACAATCTCGGTTGATAATCATTTAGACTCTAATATAACTCTTTCAATAAGGATTCCATTTTTAATGATGCCCGCTTCAGTCACTGCCGAGCACTAAAACAGAATAGGTCATGCCTGCAAATTTTTTATAATTATCTTCACTGCTTCTTCTGATGCTCGCTTACAGTCCTGGAAGGAAGAGTTCCCATATTTCTGGTAATGGCGACAAAGAACGGGTCAGAAAGAAGAAACTGTTATTGACAAAGTAGAGAGTTCTTCATTAATACCAATGGATGGGCTCAGAAAACGGGTAAATTCAAACTTTCTTATGCATTAAGAAGATATCGACCTTGAAAATTGGCATGGCTCCAGAGTAGAACTTGACTGCATCAGAATAGGCTTCCGATTTGATACACTTCTCAAGTCTTGTTGGTAGATCATAAATAAACTGCTCTTTTCACACAAGATGAAATCTGTGTTAACTCATACATGAAAATTTACAGGATGTATAAAACATGAAAACATCTATCTTCAATGGTGGAAACAATCACAAGTTCAAACAAAATGACAATGTTGAAATCTTATTCCTCAATTGGAAATCATTCAAATTGTGTTATTCAGAGCAGCTCATAACAGGAAGATGCTTCTTCCCTAATTTAATCATACCGCTCGAAGCAAAGGGGAGACCAGAATGGGTCACTCAGCCGTGTCCCATCTATTATACAAGTCGCCCTTTTTTTATTTTGCCAAAATTAACATTGAACTGTCTGTAGCAGGAAATTCAACATACAGACAGATTGGTACTCACTACATTACCTGAACTTTCCGCAGCAGATTGCGCGTGCAATGCAGCTTCTCTACATGCTCTCTTTTTGCAAAAAGAGAAGTATTGACCCCATCACTCCTAGATTGCACGGATATAATCTGAAACAATTACAATGAATTTTGTTTTGAACAAGTTTTCATCTCATGTTCCTGTTTTCTCAATTTATTTTGAAACTACAATTGATAGTAACCAAAAAGACCTTTGCCAAACACCTTTTCGTTAAGCTGTTCCATGTTTGCTTCCATACTATTTATATTACTTTTCATCCTAGAAAAACAGCCAAAACAAATGAGATTGACAAAACGAAACAATTAAATGCACCAAAAATCGGGACAAGTGTAACGCTATAAAAAGAGTAGACATCATCTCCATATTGTGCTTCACAAGTTTGGAAGATCAACAATTTTGACCCTCTATTAATAAATTTTCGGCATATATGTTAATTCAATAAGAAGAATAATTACATTCGCTACGAACATGGGTAAAGTTTGGTTCGACGCAAGAATTACCTTTTGATTGCATCTGTAGAACTAATGAACTTGTTGTAATTCTCATATACTAACGTTTGCAGGTCGGTATCCAGGTTTTTTATCTCAGAAGCCATTTCGACGTGCTTCATAAGAAGTTCATCCAAATTTGACTTTTGTACCTAAAATTCTCATTCAGATAATTATTAAAAAATAGTCCTACACACTAAAAAATGTAACATACACTGCAAAGTGCTGCACCATCAGCTAACAAGGTTTATCAAATATAAGAATTATATATTCACTCTCAACTCCAAGACATCACTGACATATGAAGCTTAATATCCTTCAATAAAATGAAATGGTCATAGGTCAACAAAGAAGTAATTATCATGCACTCATTCGATTGAAAATTATGTCATACTCGAGCACTAAAAAGCTCTTCAGCTTTGCTTTCTCAACAGTCTTAGATTGAACATTGCACCCAGTATAAATATGAGTACGTTAGGCCGTTAATCAGCTTGAAAATCATAATATTTTATTAACAGTACCGAATTACTAAAGATCTGAGTTGAATTGAAATGACAGATATTGTAGTGCTGCAAAATGAATAATATTTTTGCAATCCTCATCGTACCAGTATTGTCAATTAAGTTTTATTTACACTCTTAATTTAACATTTCTTTTAGGTTTCCAGCCACAAATAGGATAGTTTCTCATGGTGATCAACTGATTCTGAAGCATTCTAAAGCTGTCCATTAACCTTCTAATCTCTCACAAATGAACTATCAATGCATAAATGTATCTCGAAACGGTATCAAAGCCATGATCGTGCCATGGAATTGCATCCATTGGAGAAATTCTATAATGTCTCTCAATTTCAATTCCTTGTTCCCAAATGACTAGTTGCGTCATGCCAATATTTCGAAGTATTCTATAGCTGAAATTTGCTAGTAGCATTCATAATTGATTAGAACTCTATACTATTTAAACCAATATTTTTATCTGTTATAATCCAAATATCCCTAGAATATACTCCCTACATTATAAAATGAATGCAATGATAGGACGTTGCATGTCGCCATGTTTACTTGTAAACAAAAAAAAAACACTATTTATAACATCAAAATTCCAATCAATGGCCAGTATTACGGAAGTTTCTGCAACTAAACTCTCAAAAACATTCAATATATTAAATAAATATATGAAGAAATTTGAATTTTAATTCAAGTTTAAGTTGTAAAGTGGCGTACGAGGAGATTCATGTAGTGATCGGCGTCAAAGGAGGTGGCGTTGATGGTGTCGAGGGTGGCGAATCTGGAGGGAGAAGCACTTGACGGCGGCGATGCTGATGAAAGATCCAGCGAGTAGAAGCTCGATAACAGATCTCTCATCCTCTTCGCCTTCTCGTCCAACTGCTCTCCGTCTTCTATTCCCATTTTCACCTTTTCGAGCTGTTTTACGTACAAATGTCGCCGGTTACCTGCGGAGAAGTCAAGCCACAGAGAGCTTACTTTTGGTGGTAGAGTTGTACGTCGACGGCGTTACGTGGTGGCGCCAGATCCAACTCGGGTGTAACGGTACACTAATTTCAGTTTGTTGGTGGAGCAAATTACGCTGACGAGGCAAATACGCACGTTTGGCAAAGCTTAAAAAGTTAAAAATAAAAATAATAAATGCAAAAAAAATATCTTCCTTTCTCTTTCCGCTTTTCATTATTTTTAAATATAAATTTCTTTCCAAACGAAGTATAGGTTAAGAAAGCAAGAACAACGTTGTTTAAAATGTTTGTTTCTTTTTTATTTATTTATTTTATTTTATTGCTTAAAATGATTATATCAATAGTCCATTTTTCAAATTTAATTTTAGCCCCTTATTCTCGATTTTCTGTCATTTTTCGATCGTTATACAATGAAACACTAAGAGTACATGGTTCTCATTACCAGTAGCATATATTGAATGCCTCGTTTGATTGATTACTCAACAATTAAAGTAGATGACAAAATGACATATATGTCCTTTTTAGCATTTCAGTCGTTCTTCTCGTGAAGGGCATTTTCGATACTTCAAACATCAAAAAAGACGATTGCTTTTTATTTGTCTGACAAGTTGTTGAAAAAATGAAAATTTTGGTTTGAAGTCTGTACTATTGGAGTCGATTGTTTTTTCAAAAAAAATATTTTTTTTTTTTTTTCATCTAAGCGATCCCAAACAGGAGCTTAATTTTACAAAATAAAACCAAAAAAAATTGAAATATGGCTAACAAGTCAAGTTGTTGCCCTATCTATTATTATATTTTATTGAATAGTTCGATTTTATTAAAAAAGTTAGATAACCTCATTTATATTTTTATTCCAATCATATTATTTTATTCAATTAGTTAGTTCAATAAAAAATATAAGGGTAAAGCCACTTTACCAGAAAAATGTTGACAGATACCTTGACATTATAGATGTTGGCAATATATGATTGAACAGAAAAGTTGACTGTATTTTAAATAGTTCAATAATAAAATGCCACGTGACATTATGTCAAGAATTATGTCAATCTCTCTGAGCAGTGTAGCATGATTCAAAATATAATTACAACATCCTCTACATTTACGCCATAGTCATCAGAATTTAGTAACCCGGCAATAAATATATTAAATGTGCTTATAAAATAATAAAAATACTATCAAATGTCATTTTTAATATAGTTAAATAGCTCACTTCACTTATAAGGAACTTTTGGAAAAGAAAAAAAAAATTCATTGTTAGTCCAAAAATTTACCGAGTAGCAAGTTAGTCTTCGAACTTTGAAAACGAACAAATAGATTATCAACATTTATTATAGCTACACACTTAGCTCCTCGGTATTTTGGGTGCCTAGCAAGTTGCAAAATTAACCAATTTCATAAATATGGTGGTTAGATATGTGATAGGCACGTGACTATTTACTAGAGAGGTGATTTGTTTCAGAATTATCTACGTATTATATGATGAAAGGTCAAAAATCAAAATTCTTATACACGTATTGCTTCAACAATAAATTCAAATCAAATTTGCAATTTCTCCTCAAAACTTGTTTGTTTTGATACTTTTGAAAATACAATTTAGAAAACAATGTTAAACTTATAACATAAAACTCAAAATATATCTTTTATGTTTTCAGTATTTTCAGTGGAAACATCAAACATTCAAACGAGGGAAATAAGTGTTTAAATAAAAATGCTAAAAAATAAATATAATATAAAAATTCTAAAAAAAAAAATGCATTTTGAAATAATCAAATTTATGAAATAAAATGTCATAAAATAATTTTGAAAATTTTCAAAACATAGTATTTTCTAATTTCTTATATTGAAAAATAATTTTTTAATTTTTTCAGTCGAGCATTTTCATTAATCTATTAGTAAAAGGTCATTCAAAAATAAAAATGAACCCTCTTAAGCTCTAACTCTAAGGGCCACTGCCCTAACAACTGTCATGCATTAGTCTAGAATAGATGAGGGCAAAAAAATTGGAAAATCAATAAAATCAACCAAAAAAAAAAAGATTCGGGTCGATTTGAATAAGAAAATCGTTTTGATTCGATTCGATTCGATTAATTTTAACCATTAAAAAGTTTGCCGACCAAAAGTTTGTCTATAAATGAAAATTTCCACCCTTGCAATCAAACGCATGGTTCTCATTACCAGTAGCATATATTGAATACGTCGTTTGATTGATTACTCAACAATTAAAGTAGACGACAAAATGACATATATGTCCTTTTTAGCATTTCATTCGTTCTTCCCGTGAAGGGCATTTTCGATACTTCAAACATCAAAAAAGACGATTGCTTCTTATTTGTCTGACAAGTTGTTGAAAAAATGAAAATTTTGGTTTGAAGTCTGTACTATTGGAGTCGATTGTTTTTTCAAAGAAAATACTTTTTTTTTTCATCTAAGCGATCCCAAACAGGAGCTTAATTTTACAAAATAAAACCAAAAAAAATTGAAATATGGCTAACAAGTCAAGTTGTTGCCCTATATATTATTATATTTTATTGAATAGTTCGATTTTATTAAAAAAGTTAGATAACCTCATTTATATTTTTATTCCAATCATATTATTTTATTCAATTAGTTAGTTCATTAAAAAATATAAGGGTAAAGCCACTTTACCAGAAAAATGTTGACAGATACCTTGACATTATAGATGTTGGCAATATATGATTGAACAGAAAAATTGACTGTATTTTAAATAGTTCAAGAATAAAATGCCACGTGACATTGTGTCAATCTCTCTAGGCAGTGTAGCATGATTCAAAATATAATTACAACATCCTCTACATACGCCATAGTCATCAGAATTGAGTAACCCGGCAATAAATATATTAAATGTGCTTATAAAATAATAAAAATACTATCAAATGTCATTTTTAATATAGTTCAATAGCTCACTTCACTTATAAGGAACTTTTGGAAAAGAAAAAAAAAATTCATTGTTAGTCCAACAATTTACCGAGTAGCAAGTTAGTCTTCGAACTTTGAAAACGAACAAATAGATTATCAACATTTATTACAGCTACACACTTAGCTCCTCAGTATTTTGGGTGCCTAGCAAGTTGCAAAATTAACCAATTTCATAAATATGGTAGTTAGATATGTGATAGGCACGTGACTATTTACTAGAGAGGTGATTTGTTTCAGAATTATCTACGTATTATACGATGAAAGGTCAAAAATCAAAATTCTTATACGCGTATTGCTTCAACAATAAATTCAAATCAAATTTGCAATTTCTCCTCAAAACTTGTTTGTTTTGATACTTTTGAGAAAATACAATTTAGAAAACAATGTTAAACTTATAACATAAAACTCAAAATATATCTTTTATGTTTTCAGTATTTTCAGTGGAAACATCAAACATTCAAAAGAGGGAAATAAGTGTTTAAATAAAAATGCTAAAAATAAATATAATATAAAAATTCTAAAAAAAATGCATTTTGAAATAATCAAATTTATGAAATAAAATGTCATAAAATAATTTTGAAAATTTTCGAAACATAGTATTTTCTAATTTCTTATATTGAAAAATAATTTTTTAAATTGACAAGTCGAGCATTTTCATTAATCTATTAGTAAAAGGTCATTCAAAAATAAAAATGAACCCTCTTAAGCTCTAAGGGCCACTGCCCTAACAACTGTCATGCATTAGTCTAGAATAGATGAGGGCAAAAAAATTGGAAAATCAATAAATCGACCAAAAATAAAAAGATTCGGGCCGATTTGAATAAGAAAATCGTTTTGATTCGATTCGATTAATTTTAACCATTAAAAAGTTTGCCTACCAAAAGTTTGTCTATAAATGAAAGTGTTGGATTCATTGGTAAATGAAGTGAAGTGATGGAGATAAATATGGAGAGTTGAGAGAAGATACTTGAGAGATTGTAAATAGTTTTCTTTCATTTATACAAAGAGGTTTCCCATATTTATGTGTTTGTTCACTCATAATATTCTATCTACCATCTCTACTCAAAGTTAAAATATAATTTAGCCTCATTGGTTAAATTATCGTGGGGGTTGAAGGTTGACTGGCAAATGGAAGTGTACTTTGATGACATAAATATTGTTGAGGAGCCAATGAAGGTACGGACTACTTCAATGTGCGTCGTAAGCATGCCAAAACTGAGCAATGTGCGGAAACTTGAGCCTAAACCATGAAGCCAGAAATGAAAATATTAGTATAATTTAAATTATAAGTAAATTTACAACAAATTTAATAAAACTCAAAGTTGTAATTAATTAAAATAAATGAATGATAGTATTGATTAATTAATTCATGATTTGCTTACTTTCTCCATATGATCCTCCAATCACAATAATGGAAGAATTCTGAGCTGATAGCTTTTTCTTTTATGTGCAATAGCACCTCTGTATAATCAGCTATAGCTTGAGCTGAGTTGAAATTGTTGGGAAATTATTTAATTTGTCATGATGAGCCGACATATGTAATTAAATGTGTATAAATGTTAGGGAAAAATTCATAAATGAGGTGTTTAGTTTACCCAAATTCAAAAGTCATGTTTATAGTTTGGAAATTCAAAAATTAGGTTTTTTTTTCCTAATATAATATAATAAACTCACCCCACATGCACCACCCCTACTACTCCGGGGACTATTCCGGCGATCATTTCGACTACCACTCTTCTCCGACGACCACTTGTCTTCGACGACCATTCCGGCGACAGCTCCGACGACTATTCCGGCAGTCATTCCGGTCACATATTTATAATTTAATTAGTCATATATTATTTTTCAATCACAAATAATAATTTTTATACGTCACAGATTATTTTATGGTCACAGCTCAAAAATTTTTAGGTCACAATTAGTTCGTTGGTCACAAATTTCAAAATTAGTTGGTCACAGATCAAAATTTATAGGTCACACGGTCACAAATTTCCGAATTAGTTGGTCACTGATTTTTTTTAGGTCACAGATTACCGGATGGTTGGTCACAGATTTTTTTTTAAGGTCACAGATTACCGGATGGTGGTCACTGATTTTTTTTAGGTCACATACACCAAATATTGGGTCACATACACCAAAAATATTGGGTCACGTACTACACTCACCGTGCGACCGTCGCCATCACCACAACACTACCACCACAGTCACCAGCACTTTAGTCAACCTCCACTGCCACTATCACAATCGATCGCCACTACCACATCCCAAACAGATTCACTACCATCATCGGCATCTCACCAATGTAGTACCTAATCACCACTACCGACGTCATGAAAACCACCGCAAGCATATTTGACCAACAACGAACCGTGGTACAAATCACCGAATCGGCGGAAATTTCAGATCACCGAACCTACCACACACCGAACCCAAACCCACCATATTCGAGCCCACCATTTCAGATCATCTTCATTACAGAGGTGGCGACTACACACAAACCACCATCTCCAAGCCTACCATCTCCGAGCCCACCATCACCACCGCAACACCTAATCATCGTCGATCTGAGCGACCAACACTGTGTTGCACACAAAAAATTTCACAGCGACCAATACACAAAACTCGCTGTGAATCGCACAGCTCGCTTGCGGCAGTGTCATCACTACAGTGATGGTAACACTGCTGCACCAGAGATT